TGCTGTCTCGCTCACCCTTGCATTCACACTTGTTTACAATCGACATTCTACTAACACACAACTCACACTTGTATTTTGCTGTGCAAAATTGCAAATGGCGCGTATTAACTTCGACATCTTAATAGATAATAAACATACTACTACTCGCTATTAACATCGATCTTAATACTACTTCTCATGTTATTATGCGTAGTATGATTGGTTGTTAATAGTTAATAAAGGATTTTTCGTATTTAGTAATAAGATATGTTAATATTTCGATGTTAATTGGACATCTATATATTATTATTATTTTATAAAAAAGGTATAGAATTTGAATTTGACGCTTCTTTATTCCGAAAGAATTTATATATTTAAAAGGAATGCTCATGTGGTAAATCACGAATATATGTCAATCATATCAAAATGTCAAGGATAATAAATGAAAGTCAAAGAAAATAAATGAGACAATGATGAACAATGTTTCCCACGTTGAAAAATGTTATCCTCGATGATTAGGAGTCATAGTCCAAAGGTTCAAAAGAACTTACCCAGCTGCCATTGCGTAGTTTGCCAAACTATGATTTGGAACTGTTGCTGCGGCAGCCGTGGCTGCTGCACCATATGCTGCTCGCATGCCTGAAATTCCTGCATTCAATGTAGCTGCCGGCTGAAAAAAATGAATTTTTGTCTAAATATCCCAAAATCCGAAATTAAAGAACTCCAAAGACAGCATTCTCGATTGACTTCTACAAATATATCTGCTATTTTTTTAAATAATTATTTCAAGTTCTGACAGAAAATCAACTCAATAAAAAAAAACAATTTTTTTGGATATTTTTAGTGAAAATTCCAAATGGATTAGAAAAACATCCGATATGAATAAAATGAAATTCCAAGATAATAAACAATTTAAAATGTTAACACTGTAACTTTCTGAAAAAAGAATCGTATCAATTGTTTGACAAATTTCATTTTTAACATATCAACTTGAAATTCCACAGCAATTTCAACAAAATGCTTTGTTGTGATCGTAAAATTGCGTAGGAGTCCTCGCAAGAATAAATTTCCCTAGCAAATTGAAAGATTTTCTTTTAAGAGGTTGAAAAAGGTATTTTTGATTACATTCCGAAAAAATTGACTCAAAAAACGACTAAAAAATCCCAAATCAAAAGATTTTTTCTCGGCAAAAATCCCTAGCAAATCGAAATATTTCTACCATTTGATGAGGGTTCCGAAAAATATTTTGGGGGATGATCCGAAGGGCCTTTAAGTCGAATTCTTTCACGAAAAACAAATCAGCAATTAATAAAACAACGACGAAATCGGCCACGCCCTGGTGTTTGCATGGAAACGAAATTTCGTCGATACGAAAAACGTGAAGTAAATGGTCGAATCGAGATCTAAGTGTCGGTCGCAATATTTACTATAAAGGTATGTGACTATTTGGCAGACATTAGGCTCGAGCTGTGCATATAGCGGCTGCTATTTTATAGGTGCTATTCATAGGCGCTATTTAATTCGTGTGCTGTGTGTAACACCGAGTAAGAATATCATAGCCTACTATTATTTTGTACATTTGAATGTGAGTACGTGAGAGATGTAGAGAATAACGCACAATATGCATAAATGCATTAAAACGAGATAAAAAGCGCCTATGAATAGCAGCTATGAAATAGCAACCGCTATATCCATAGCTCAAACCTAATGTCTGCTATTTGGACAATTTATATTGATTCATTTGACTCTGAACAATACAAATTTATAAAGCGTTCATTTTACGCGATGATGTAGGATAGTGACATTTAATTTTTTTCTTTTGAAACATCGTGCTCCGAAAATAGCTACATTTAAACAGTAGGATTAACTAGGCTAACATTAAGTCCATTTGGATTGTTCTGCTGAAAATTCCACTATAATATTCAATGCATTTTATATTACAGAGTACTCATAACTATATTTTATAATTACAATTGCATATGCGGCTTGTTGTTGCTGTGCATGAGCGATTAGTGCATTTTGTTGTCCAGCAACAACCGCTTGTTGTGCTGCTTGCGCCTGAGCCTGAGCCTGTGCCTGTGCTTGAGCCTGTGCTTGTGCTTGTGCTTGTGCGACATGTGCAACCTGCACATTATTGGCCGCTGCCGCTGCCGCTGCTTGAGTCATGGTTGTTTTATTTATTAATGGATTTGATGCTTGTGCCTGTATGATTTTAGATTTCGAATCAATCTACATAGCGAAAATTAGGGAAAATTTGTTTGAACCACTGAATTTTTCATAAATTGTCAAATAAAACGTATTGGATATTGAATTTTAAATCTCATATACATTTTTTTAATTTTTCTCAAACGGACATTTTTGACAATCGTTGATCATTCAAACTTGAATTGAGCAATTTAAATGTTTGCAATTTTGTAAATAAAAAAAGATATATATAAAAAATATAGATAAATAAAATATCAAACAATCTTTTTATATTTTAACTACTGACCATTACCAACTCTTATTTTTTTTGTGTAACGATCAATAATAAAAATACAATATTTCCTTTGCGTTTAGAATGCAAAGATACATATATGAAAAATTCGTAAGTAAACAGAAGAAAAAATGGTAACAATAACAATTTGAAAGCACAAACCTGAAGACGATAGTTGGGATCAACTTGAGCTGCTTGAATAGAATTTGCTGCAGCTTGAGCTTGAGCTTGAGCTTGAGCTTGAACCTGTTGGGCTGCTGCAACCAAGAATGGATCGTAGTAGACACTAAATAGCGCGAAGAAAAATAAATCAAATTTTTTTTTGTTATCAGTTATATTTTATGTTATGTAAAAATAATGAGTTAGTTGTTGTTGTTGTTTATTATTTTTTGAAATATTTTGGAATTCAAGCCACTATAGGGTTAGTATTAAGCAAGTAATTAAAAAATTAATCAAAACATCACCATATTTGTAATTTGGTAATGTTTGCTTGGTAAGAAAACTTACAGCAAAAGAGCGAGATAGATGCCAAAATTTATGATGAAGTTCACATTTAAAGTCAGTTGAATTTTGAGTGGAATTAGTTTTTAAATATTTGGTAATTATGAAATAAATGGAAATTAAAACACATTTATTTACAAAAAAGTGACGTACACATCTACATCATAAATCTCTCGCGCTCTTTTCTGTTGATTTAAGTTTTCCCACACTAGAGATAGTTGTGTTATAAATACTATGTTCATATTCGTTGTGTTGCATGGTGCAGGCAAGCCCACAATTACAATTTTAAAGAGTAACGTACATTATTCATAGTTATATTTGTTAGTCGAGCACTACAACATTGTTTCATTCTGATTTGTTGAAATGTGTAACTGTATGCATGAAAAAACGAACACATTCTTAAGTTAACTAATTATATTTACAAAACACGAGCTTAAAATGATATCAATCAAAGCTCTATTTTCATTTCCTTAAAAAAAATTAAGTATTTAGTTATGGTTTTCAAAAATTTTATGATACATTTAAATGACACAATTGTTTTTGCCGTTTCATTAAAAAAAACTACATTCAAGGATAGAAAGGATGGTAAACAAAGCAGATTAATGAATGAAGATTTTTTAATGATTAATCTGACTAAATAGTCTTGTCGTTTAAAGATTGGTTACGTTTGTTTATTTTTCCACTATATATTAATTTTTGGAAAGTGTTATTCAAAATTCTAATTATATGTGATCATCTCCTCTAATTCTTTAATCAATGCGTGAATAAAGTCAATTCGTTTTGTTTTTTATAGACATCGACTTCGGAAAAGATGAGAATATTTGAAAAATAAAAACAATTTCTAAACTCTTCTGGCAAATATGACGTGCACGACTATGTTTCTTATTATCTCGCGGTGATATCAATGTACCCCTTGCATATCACAAAAATGTGCAAGAACTATTATTAGGAACCAAAATAATCTAAGGTAAGTAAACGATCGCCATATGTCTCTGTTTTTTTGTTTATTACTTGTTGAATTTTGTCTCTTTCACTATATTAATATATTATATTTACCAGTAAAAACAATGCTTTAAAAACGTTGATGTTGACGAAATTTATGATCATTATAATTCAAGTCAATGCTTAGAATACATGTTCACATACCCAAAATAAAAGATTAAATTAAATAGATTATTATTTAATTCTACTTGCCAATTCAAAATGTGAATAAACACAAACTTGCAGGTGATCACGAACTAACTTACAGATTATTTTCTACATAAAAAAAAACATAATTACATTTCAATCATAAACTTGCTGTCTATATAATTTCATATTGGATATTCAACATTGCAATAAGTGTTCTAACAAAAGAAACGTAATATTTCATTTGTTGTTTTTTAGGTTTCAAATTGATCAAAAAACAACGGAATCAAGCGTGCAAACATGCTTTTTTTATTTATAAATAATTTGCAATTCAAAAACTGGTATATTTTATTTCCGAATACTTGAAATCGTTTGTTGTTCACTTACGTTCATATATATTTACTTTCAAATGAATCACTAATCTAAGCAATTACTTATATCTCTGACGAAAAAACGAACAACAATTAAGCTTGTAACAGTAAGCGAGAAATCAATTTTTTTAAATGTCCCTTATAAAATTTAATCAAACGAAAATAAAAATTCAAGAATATTATACTAGAACACAAGTTTTTTGCATTACAACTGAGGGATTAAACTCAAACAAAAATAAATAAATACATGCTTCTGTACTTGATTAAATTTCATTCACAAAATACAAGGACAAAAGCAAGCTCATTATTATAACAAAGAAAAAAAAAATCACAATTAGAATCGAGTCTCGATAAAATATTACAGTATCAAATTTGTTTAATGTTTAGACATTTATAATTAATTTATCTTTTGAAATGTTTATATTTAAAATACCCTCTGATCAAAAAGTTCTCGGAAATCGCGAATTTAATCGAGCGCGGTTCGCGTATGATCAAATTTTTTTTTGTTAGGTTGGTAGTATCGATCTCGATATATGTGCAAAAATTGTGCGCAATATGTTAGCTAGTATGTGTTTGACAGCGGTTTGTTTTGGTCAATCCGAGTGCGTTTTTCGATTTTTTACAATGGATAAATTAAGTGAACAAAGAGTGTGTTTGAAATGTTGTGTTTTGAATGAAATTTCTTGTGCGAATACATTAAAAATGATACAGAAAGCCTTTGGGGATATTTCCATCAAGAAAACAACAGCATACGATTGGTACAAAGCATTCAAGGAGGGGCGAGAGACCTTTGAAGGCAAGCCTCGTTCTGGTCGACCATCGCGGTGTTGTCCATTACGAATTCTTGCCAGAAGGTCAAACCGTCAATAAAGAGTATTATCTGGCTGTTATGAAGCGTTTGCGCGAGAAAATTTGCTTGAAAAGACGAGAATTGTGGACCGAAAACTCATGGATTTTGCATCACGATAACGCGCCATCCCATACGGCTCTCGTTGTTTGTGAATTCTTGGCAAAAAATCAACCCAAAGTCATTGCTCAAGCACCGTATTCGCCAGATATGGTTCCGTGTGACTTTTTTCTTTTCTCCAGACTCAAATTGCCACTGAGTGGTAAGCATTTGGACACAATTGAAAACATCAAACAAAAATCGAAAAAGGCCCTTAGCGAGATTTCAGCGCCGGCCTATGCCAAGTGCATGGATGAATGGATCAAACGTTGGGAAGCATGTGTTAATTCTAATGGTAGTTATTTTGAAGGTGACAATAAAGATTTGCATTAAAAATGTATTCGAGTGTGTTTTTTATTACAATTTCCGAGAACTTTTTGATCAGAGGGTATGTTGTGTCTGATTTGATTGGACCATATTTCTTATTCAAAATTCACTGTAAATTTTTCACGCCAAAGCTAGTTTACTATGATCGTAAATTAGTAGATTTTTTACAGATATTCAGTCACTTTATATTGAAAGAGGTCATTTTTGAAATGTAAACTGTTTGTTAAAATAAATTCAATATCACAATTAATTATTTCGAAATAAATATTATTAACGACTGTCTTGGATGACAGGACTTATAGTCGATCGTTCTAACAATAAAATTCTATTTTTTTTATTCGCTCGAGTTGTTTTTTTTTTCAATATCTCAAGGTTTTACTTAAAAACATAGTCTCTTATTGTTCAAAATTTCTTTAAACCACAATTCTTTTTAGTATCACCGCTAGCTAGGGGCAGAGCAGTACTTGAATAATAATTTTTGTTTAAAGTAATTCTATGTTGTGAGTAGTAATCCATATTAATCCGCAGTAATACACACTTGTGTAAATTCTACAATAACAGCAGTGCAATGACGTTTCATGTGTACGTTGTGTATTGCATTTGTTAGGCTAAGGTTTAAAGTTACTCTTTTTTTGATCACCAATAACATTTTATATTTGTTTTTCGTTTTCTAATTCATTTCTGAAGTAAACTTTTCCAAAAGTCTCATTTATTCAATCATATTGAATTCAAATGAGACAAAACACGAATTAGCTGATTTCAAGATTGATAAAAATACGATTTGATGCGATTTTTGAGCAAAAACATTATATTTTAAAAAATCCATTAGATTCGAAAAATATTTCCACTATTTATTCGTTTTAACCCCCTAGTGCATAGCTCTGCCTTTAGGCGGAGTGTATAAATTATTGTCTAAAATTTATAATTAAAAACAAATGATTTTATTTATGAATTAAAATACATTCAGTAAGGTTCAAACTTTCATTTTCCGGTCATTTGACAATTGGATGTAAATCGGTTCTTTAATTATAAACACGGTTGTACGTGAAAACAGAAATTTGACAAAAAAATTATCATTTTCTTTGTTTATAGCAGTTTCACTGCAGTTTAAACAATGGTTTTGATTGTTCTCTGATTTTGTCAATGGCATTTTTTGAGGAAACTATGCACTTTTTTGAATTTCGATTATTTTTTTAAGGAATTATAAACCAAAACAATCATGAAAAAATAGCTCTCATGTCGAAAAAAATTAATGCATTAGAGGGTTAATATTGATTTTACTGCAGTTTTGTTGTTTTGACAAAATTACAACTTAAAATATATACCGGTGAGTTGAAAATAGATTTTTTCTAAAACAATCAGTTTCAATCATATATATCTTTTGGATTTTTTACTACTTAATTCAGTAAAATTAATGTGATTCTTCATAATAGTCTTACAATTTTCTTTCATTAAATGTTTTAGTCTTGCACATTAGCATGAATCAAGAACTGTTGATCTGTTCCAATATTTTCATAGAATAATATTATTGTATAAAATATTAAAGTTGCAAATTCGATGAGTCTCCATTTTCAACACTGGTCACTGGACTTCAAACTCTAAAGCATTAGTTTAGAATTCAAAGTTTGGATAGGTAAACCGATTTCTATCAACTCAAATGTATCATACTTTTCAGACAAGTCTAGTATTGTAGATTCTTGCGTTTTTTACTTTTCTCATTGTTGATTCAATTTTTGGTTTGATTGCTAAATTAATAGGTAGTACTACTTACGGCGCAAATCCATGCAAAGCATTAGCTGAACTCGCCGCTGCAGCTGTTGCAAGCGGAGTTGGTAAACGAAAAGCTGTAGCGGTCGCTCCAGCTGGTGGAAAAACAGCAGCAGTTCGAGCCGTTCGTCCTCTTTGAATTGCTACTCCACGCAGTGCTGATTGTTTTAACGTGATTTATGTGTGTAGATTATCATTTGATTTTTTTCATGGTTTGAGTGTTTTCGTTTCAAACGATTCCATCATTTTGATTTTATTTCATAACATATATTCGTATTTTACGAAACAATATTGATTTTTTTTTGTTCATTGATGTTGTTGTTGGTGGTGATGATAAAAATGTTCGATTGAATTCATTTTTGTATTGTTTGTTTGATTTTTATGTGGTCAAAATTTGTGCGTGCCAAAAATATACGAAAAAGTAAAAGGAAAATGCATGCGGTTAGTTATCAAAAAACCATAAATTAAATTTTAAAAATATGTATATATATAATTAAACGCTTAAGGTATTTATTGACAATATTGGAAATAGCTGTAAATCATCGCTGCCATTTATAATAATCTTGTATTTTAACCACAGTGAGACTTTACGTCAAGACTTTGTGATTTATATTGAACTAATCTCAACGGCTTAGAATCTGATTTCATAGCATTAATAATTACTGTGTAGTATAATGAAAAATTTTCCAGGGCAATATGGACAGCTGCTTAATCCAGCCGTATATTATATCTGATAAATCGAATTGAAGTGTGTGTGTGTGTGTCTTGATCACTGCAGACATGCAGTGCAGAAGGCTCATACATTCAAAATCCAGATCACTTTATATAGTCTATTATTAAATTTAGTGCCTTAGTATAGTATAACAAATCCATTTTCAACGATCTATAAAATATTGCGGTCCCTTTTAAAGTCCATTTGATGAAAAACTAAAAAAAAGCGTCCCAAAAATGACGAATCAAGACCAGAACCATTTATATAACGAATTAAAAAAAAAAGAGAAATATATTTGCTCACTTTCCCTTTCTCTACGTTCGAAAAAAATAATTTCAGGCAATTGAAAAAACTATAGAGAGATGAAAAAAAAAATTAGATGGTCAAAAATCGAAAAAAGAATTTTTTACGCATTACATTTTTTTAGCATTTATATAGAAGTGACGCATCTATGCAAAATCTGGTACAAAATGCATGTATATGTATGGGATGTATGGGACTACCGTCCCTCGTAATATATCTAAAATTTTCATAAGAATCATGGTCTATCAATATGAAATCCTTCTTCTATTTTCCAGAAGTCGATCATTCCAAATATGCCAAACTTTTACCGTAAGTACTTCACATTCACTCTGCATTTTCACATGTATAAATCGATTGTAACGAAATCAAAATTTTGGAATATATTTCGGAAACCATGACAAAAAAGTATTCGTAAAAATTATTCACACGAAAATTAATCTTAAAGAAAAAATATATAAATTAAACTTGAGTGATCGAAACCAATGGAATCCACTTAAAGCCAAGAGAGAATCGAATAAAGAAGGTTACTTCGGATCCAGGTTTTTTTTCGACGATGCCAAAGAATTCAGAACATGCACAAAAACATAAGAAATTTATTTCAAATGTATGGTTGACCTGTGTTCAAGATGTTAATTGTGCACTAGGCAATTAAAAGTAAATAATGGACGAGCAAAAATGTATTCAAACATTTCAATGGTTGCAGTCGATCAATTACATTTTCCTTGTTTTTATTTCCTTTTTTAATAATAATAACTTATTTATTGCTAACATTTCTTGAATAGAAAGAATAATTATAAACAAACTCATGAAAAAACTTTTTGAATGAAGACGAATGAAAGACGTAGTGTCTATTCGTAACAACAAATCAATACATGCTTTGTAGTTGCATGCCTTAAGTTTGTCTCAGATGTTTTTCATTTTCGATCAATTTGACTTATGAATTTCGAGTTTTAAGTTTATGTTTATTTAAATGGTTACGTAGTGAAATCATTTTAAAATCGATGTGATGTGCTCATAGTCGAATCGATTCTATAAAGATAGGATTTGGACGTTAGTCGTAATTACTCACGCATAGTGGATAAAAAACTATCAAAGTGTGTCTGTTGTTATGTGAAATGCACAATTACTGAAAATTATTTGTCAGTCAAATATTTATCAACAATGAAGATCAGTTGGTTAGTACACAATGCATTTTACATACTTCGATATATCTTGTCTATTGCTATTGGGGTTAGATTTGAATTGAGATATAAGCTTATTATCGTTCACAAGGCGATTAGCAAGAGACATATCAAGAAGATGCACATAACAAAATTTAAATACCTTCGTCTATGAACAGCTCGTGGAGCCAATAAAAGTTGTTGAGCAGGTGTTAAGTGTGCAGTTGCTTGTGATGTAGCTGGTGAAACAGATGCCCCATTTCTCATCGAACTCAGAAATGGCCATGCCATCGATGTCATCGACATTCTATAGCCTAATCATATTTTGATATTGAAATTTACTAACATAATCCATTATAAAGATATAAATGTAATTATGTAAGGTAATCCTGGATTCCGCATTTTTAGCCAAAAATTAGAAATATATTCTAATTTGGAATTAAATGGCTCTTCTAATTGCTTAATCCGTTTAAAAAGCATTATATTAATGCGAAATGAATTTATCTATTTTGCTCGAATGAAAACTGAGAAATTGTTTATTTATATTCACGATTTACGTAATTTGCAAATAAATAATTTTAAAATTCGTGACTTGTGTTAATATTTCATTTGGATATATAACAGATCATAATCTGTTTTACAATAATAACAGACATTCTCATGTTTTGCACAATATGCATCTATTATAATAATAATTATTATTTTTTAATATTCTAAACATATGTATACATTTTTAAGCCTGCCAGACATTTTTACCGGGCGAATCTGGACGATTTTTTTAAGTATCATCTTTCTTATATATCATTGACTGTTAAAAAATTGTAATACAATCTTTGAGCAAGTGTAGGTGTCATGGCACCATATTGCAATTTCAATTAACATTTTCGATAAGAGTTAAAATACAAATTAATAACACTAATGTTGAAAAAACAATGAAAATTGTAAAAAAATCCGTGCGAAATCCGTTTTTTTTTTTTTGGATAATATTCGGGCATTTCTCGCGGACAATTTTAGAAGGATTTTGTTATGAAAATCCAAATAAACCCGGACTTATCCAGGCGATCTGACAGGCTTAGCATAAATACATGAAGTTTGTGTCTCAGTAAAAGTTACATTAAGTAATTAAGTAATTCCATGAAAAAAGTGTTAACTTCATTTAAGTGAACTGCATAGGAGGTGCATTATTGTGTTTCATTTTTATTCGTACTAGATCTAATCAAACTATGTATATGCAGATTATTATTTGTAAATAATGGAAATTTGGAAATCATTATTGAGCTCTATATCAAATCTAATCGGAAAACAACAAATGGTGATGCACTTACAAAGGTTTGTAGAAATTGAATTTGCAAAATTTATATACTCTGTAAAATTTGGAAAAGTTTGTACATACAGTGAGATTCTTGGCATAAGCACGTACGGCAGCGCCACAAAAGATTACGACGGTGATGTTTTATAAGCGCGTTTTAGCACTATAGCTACCGCTACCGCTCTACATAGTTTGCTGCGATTTAATGTTTTATACTCAAATATGTTTCTTCTCGAATCGATTGTGGCACTAGTGTACTTAATCAATCATGTAAAATTACATGTAGTTTTGTATACAGTGCGCACACTGTATGGGTTTATTGTGAATTTCGTACAAATTATAGCAAATGCATGAAACAAAAAATAATTTGCAAATGAAAAACAAAGACAATCTCTTGCTGACAATCCTTATATAAATGTTATTATTTTCACAAACAAAAAATAGCACATTGAAATTAAATGACTACTTGAAATTAAATTCGTGTTTATTACACATAAATTGAAATGAATCAAAACGTAAAGTTATTAATACAACCACCAAATTGTATAAGTATATCGCGCTCATCACATTTGCACACTAATACATTGGACAAAACAAATTGTAAAGGAAAATTACGTTATTCAAAATAAAATCGCATATACTTCCATAGCACATAGATTCGTACAATTAATAAGTCATTATCACCAAAAACATTTTTGCAAGGGCCATTTTGGTAATGGATAAATGCTTGAATAATATGAATTCAAAACCAATTCTATACGATTCTATAAATAGGCCAGTGTAGCAAAAGAATTCCTATCTAGAACACAGATGCTGTACGCAATTGGGACGACAATTGGAAAGTGCAGTAAAAAATACACATGAAAAATGAAAAACTCGAAGTAAATTTTTTTTTGTATAAGTTTGAAAGAAAAGAAGGCAAACTTAATTATAAGGCGATCGAAAACATAAATTTATACACATGGTTGAAGTATGATAACGCGACTAAATTGAGCAAGCGATATAATTCGTATGTTCATGTGATATGTAACACATAAGAAAAAAAACTTTTCCATCTCAAAGAATTTAAATAAAACTAATTCACATTAATGCAGTATATTGATTTTTTTAAATACAAGAATATTCTTACCTTCCGGCCATTGAACACAAACTGCCAGCACAAACATGCACAAAAAATTGGTTGAAATAGGAAAGAAAAAAATTAGCGGTAAGTCTAAGATTGTTAACAGCATAGTTTAAAACGAAGATGATTCAGATCTCAGAAGCATTTAAATACCAAACAAAATAAACACTCTTTATCATGTTTACACTAATAAATCTGATTCATCTGCTATTATAATGGAATGCAGGGCCAAAAAAATATATTGATATATAACCTACATGGGATGAAAAGTTTCCAGAATTGCATACAAAATGGAATTATATACAAAAATGTGTCTTATGACTGGAAACCGTTCATCCTAATGTATATATTTGTTTATACAATTATTTTTTAATGTTTTCTGTACAAAAATGTGAACAATTATGTAAATTACAAAAAAAGAAATACATTTAAATATTGCAGTATACTTTGTATCCCGTATCAAATTTGTCAAAGTGACTATACTGTATTCTTTATGGGCAATAAAGTAACAAATATTTGCTTACCATTGGGCACAACTGGAGTTGGTGTTTTTTTTGTTTGAACACGAGCCGTTGCATTATTCACCTATGGAATTGTTGTAGCAAAATGATATGTTAGTCGTATAATTTTTTTCAAGCTAAATCAATTATCACGTAACACACGACAACAAAACAAAATTGTGACACAAAAACTTAATGAGACGCTTACACGAATGATAAAGATGCAACAAAAACATTTGGATATAAAAAAAAGATATTTAACAAATTTTACCAAAGTAATGATACTAGATTAGCAAAATATTTTACTACATGTTTTCGCAGGAATAATAATAACAATATGAATTCATACATTAATCGAAATAAAGTTCCAATTGAACCCAAAATATGAACAATGTATCGTAGAAAGTAGAAGAAGACAAGATATTGAGCTGACAAGTCAACTTAATATATTGTCTGATTGGGAAATGGCAGTGACTATAATCATGCAAATATCTTTTATACAATAATTGAAGACCTTCAAGCTACAAATTTCATTAAACACTGCCCAAAATTGACATGATCAATATATAAAAGTTGTTTTGAAAGAAATGCAAAATTGCAAGCTTATTAAATAAGTGAAAATTATCTTTATGAAATATATTTTAAACCAGAAGTGGGCTCTCTCATCATTGGAATGCGTCAACAAATATGTTTACTATATTATCAAACTATTTGATGATAATTTGAAAGTTAGTTTGTGCAATAAATAATTATCACATCCAATAAAATCAGATCAAATGTATGTGTGACTAATCTATTTAACCATTTCTAATATTCAAATATCAACATTTGGCAAAAGATTTTATAAAATACTTTTAAAATTAAAAGGCGAGCAACAAATATTTTAGGTAATATTGTTTGCAAAACATGTGACGCTTTTTAATCTATTTAATTTAACCTGAAAGTCTATACTTGATGTTAATAAATTTGTGTGCTTTAGATTATTCATCTTGTATGTGATTAAGGGTTTAACAGAGACAGTTGTTCATATAAAATTTGGTAATTTGTTGATTAATGATGAATCAATTGCATATCTCTACAAACGATTAGACGTTAATTTTTTAATCATAAAAACTGTTGCTATTATTATTCTTTTGCGTTTGGGCATTTATGATTTTTGCTCTCAAATTAATAACTAATGGATAAAATTATTGTATTATTTGAAAATTTTAAATAAAAAGCAAATCCACAAATGAACTAATTAAATAAATTAATGGAAAAAAACGTATCAATTAAAATTGTATAAAGAAACACATGCACCACCTCAATCTTGCGCCCCTCAACCATAGTGCCTTTAGGAAAAAACAACAAAAAGAAATATAAAAATATGTAAATATTTTATATTAATTATTAAATTCAAAAATAGTACAGAATATGCATTATTTAAGTTGGAAAATTAATTTTATTTGTTTGATTGTTCCAATTGGTTTTAATAAGTCCTAGCTGCAAAGTATTTTGATATTATTGTTTTATTAAAAAAAAAAAACTCGATTACCATTGATTCGTTCTCGTGCTCTCTCTGCGTCGCTACTGTTAGCGAAGGTTACAAACCCGAATCCCTACATGCAAAAGGACAGAACAAGAATTCATGCATTAAAAACAATTTTGCAACGACAATAGTATTTTCGGTGGGTAGCTTTAAGCCATTTATCAAATCTAAAACTAAAAGTAAATTATTTTTTTGTAACTTTATATATTTATAATTTAGAAATACGTTTATTATCAGAGTGATTGAAATATATAAAAGAATGGATTTTCGTGCAACACAAAATCTTGCTGGTTTTTTTTTTGTCAAAAATTGTGATTCTCGTTCAATATCTGTGTCAAATATCATGTATCAAATGTGTGTAAAATGCATTACATTTTCTATGTATTCGTTACACACGTTGCCACTATTTATTTTACAGAGTATAAGCGTTCGTAAGAGGTTAAGATTTCATCATTAAATTCTTGCAAATACAAATAAATCTATCAACATAAGCGCAAATGTGAATTCGTCAGAAAAAAATTACTAATGATTCAAATAGACTAAATAACAATGTGCGAAATTAAAAACAATGCTGGTAAAAGCAATTGCAAATTATCATCACTCAGAATAAAATCTGTTCGATAGTTTTGCTCGTTTAACATGTCATACAAAACATTGATGGTTAAACCCAAAATATCAACGAATGAAAAATTGTATAAAATTCAATTTAGATCATAATAAAAATGTCACCATGTTTAAGCATAAATGACGATAGGATAGAATATAATTTTATGAAACGAGCAATGATTGAGCAGCTTTTTCCAACCTTAAAAAAAGCATATGGAATGTTTTTTAGATGTTTGATATTCAAACTAATAAATCTATAGATAAAAAATTCTCGAATTTAATATTTTAAAATATGTACCGTTTTTAGGACATTTTAACGTTAAAAAATGTAACGCTTTGGCCCGGTTTAGTGGTCATTTCCGTGTCAAATGGAACGTAGATTTTGTGTGTAGTTTCCAGTATATTTACAACTTCCAATGGAATGATTCGTTCCAATTGTTTACTACCATACAAAAACATACTCTGACCGTATAATATGATCG